TGGTGCTTCAGGCAGTAGCGATGATGAAAGCTCATCAAGCTCATCTTTCCAATAAAAGATGTCGTTCATCAAATTCGGTAAGTAATTATAAAGCTACTGTATTTTTTAATTAATTATTGACATTTTTGAACCCATTTTGGCAAAACCTATTCAAGAATCTACTTTCTGACAATGTTCAACCATGCACATTTTTTTACGTTTTGAACGTTTTAATTTGGTTACATATTTACCTAGAAATCAAAAAATATACTAATCAATATTCTAAAAGCAATTTTAAGAGATATACGATTATTTTTAATTTAGGCTAATTTAAACGCTATTTTGAGATTATATTCGACTGTATTTCACCAAACATCAGGCGGCATCCGAAGCTGGAAATCGAAGCGAAAATTTTGAAACCCTTATGTATATTTACATCATTATATATTTCTTACCCCACCCCCACATGATCCTATATCCATCACCAATCGTATACACATCGAATTGTGCTAATTTACTACAAAGTTACGCAAATCAGCATCTACTATCTAAAATATGTACTGCGTGACTCTTAATACGTCCCTGCCGAATGTTACAGCGTTCGATGATCACGTGGTCTTGTTTATGTCCGGTCTATCTCTTATCTGAATATACTGTAAAAATGGCTTGAGCCTCCGAAAAACCTGGTCTCTCGACAAAACACTATACCTCCGTAGGCCTACTGAACTTTAGCAAGAGCTTCCGTTTCACTATGCCTAAGGCTGAAGCAAAACCTGATAGCACAGCGTTGCTCAAAATTGGTGTCATTCATTTTTAGAACTCAATAGGAAAAACTGTTTTGCAAAAAAATCTCTACGGACATCCAAATGACTCGAGCGGGTTCAAGCTTATACGGATCACATGTTTCCCTGTCACCCCTCCAATCTCCAATCCTGGCGCATCCAGTGGCCAGATCGAACGCTACGTTGCAGGCTCATCACGTAATTTACAAACCGTTTTGAAATTCTTAAATGTTTAGATATTTATCAAATGTTTGCCTTGAGGACAGCGTAAAATAAACCTCGAAACATTTTCTGAGAGGCTCACCGAAATCAGGAAATGTACAACCAGAGTAGCTGCCAGGATCATTGGCTCTAAGGCCGATTTTACAATTGACCAACCGGAGGGAATAAAAATTTGCGAATGTGGTACGAATTGGACCAATGAGAAAGCGTCTTTGAAGTAATGGATCTAATGAATTTGGTCGATTTCTTTTAACCAACGAAAAATTATTCGATTTATGTAAACTCCTAACCTGTTTTTTCATTTGTGTCCGAACACAAAAGTTAAGGCCCGTATCGTCAGTCGTCCCTACAATTGTAGGGCGCGTTTATGGCCTCCTTGATTGTCATACTCCTTTCTCTCCTTCAACAATTTATAGATTACACTTGTCCCGTGTCAGCGTCAGCGCTCTCCTATTGTAAAGATATGTTTTCTTTTTAAATTGTAGGAAATTTCATGCTGATAAAACATGATATAACTCAAAAGCAAGCTCAATTTGATGCAAATAGATGTTTGTGACATAACCTCAAAATAGAGCGCTGACACGGAGAAGTAGAAAACTATGACAATCAATGAGGCCATAAAGGCGCCCTACAATTGTAGGGACGACTGACGATACGGGCCTAAGAAATTCCGTCAATCAAAAAGGATTTGTAGCTTACTCGAAATGTGCATCAAACCTCATACAGAAAATTGACGTGTCGCCATTACTGAGCATTTTATTGAAAATAACAGTGTCTCTCTGTTACTGTGAAAATTTCTGCTTAATATTGTCTTTAATGACAAAAATAAAATTACAGGATGCTTATTCTTTAACAAACATCAAGTAATTAATGAATTTACTTTCTTACTGTTAACAGGAAGATCCTTGCATGAGTCAACCTACACTATGCCATTTTTTGGTGGGTAGTACGAGTAGTAGTCCATACCTAACAAATATTTTTTTGATGTAAGAACGTGATTATCTTCAAATCAGTATTTACTGCTGATGTGATTGTAGATAGAAAAAGGTGTAAACAAACGACCAGATACCTAAATGTCATCAACAGGATAGGATTAACAACAAGGCTTGAATCATTATCCGTGTTTCTCGAACTCATGACGCATTGGTGTTTTTAGATCCGCTACAGAAGAGGCAGACAATTACACGCCCACACCTAAAATCTGGGTAAAGGCCCGACCAAAAAAGACGAGGTCGTCCAACTTGATACTTATTTTCGATGCTTTTATGAGTGTAACAAGGCGGTATGCAAAATAGTTTTGTCTTAATGAAAATGTGTTCTTGGGTTCGATATAAATATGGCATGATTGTAAAATTATTTAAGACTGTCGCTGAGTGTTATCTGCAGAAAAACAGATTATCCACGTTTTTTATACCTGTACACTATTAATAGTAGGGTAAAGTCGGGTAATTTGTACCAACTAGTCATGTGTCGTTCACGAACGACTCATCCAAGTGAGCGATGATTGAACGACTCTTTTGTTACATATGGCTCATTTAATTGTGCAAGGCGTGTCTGCGGTATGCAGCAAATGAACCGCGAACTGACAACGTGGCAACAGTATACACCATCTAGGGTACACAATTGTTTTGTTTTGAGATATCTCATTAAATTATACGTTGAAATGTTGGGATTTGAGAGCATAAATTGTATTTTGATTCAGAATTCGGTAATTCCTCAAAACCGGACGACATTATCCCTTCTTTTTTCGGAAGACAGTATAAATTCGTTATATTCAATTTCAACCAAAAATATTAATACTTAAATAAATACAATAACACCGGCAACCCAACCATTCATTTCATTTTCATAGTATGATGTATGATTCTCTGACTCAGTGAGTCGTTACTATAGGCAACACAATACTCTCGTCAGCTTCCAGACCGGTCGGTAATCGTGTCGTTCAAATGAACGACTCCAAACGAACGACTCACTAAAGGGAGAGTATGTCTCAAGCCTAAACTGAATCCAAATTCAAGATGAGATGTAAATACTCGTAATAACAGTTAGCGCGTGATCTCTCGGTAACAGGTGGGGACAACGCCTCTTATTGGTCGCCTGGCGGAATAATGCGCGGGGCAGGGGCAGAGCAGGCAGAGTTGCACTCAGGCCACCGTCCGTCGCGTGTATCACTGCGTGCTCGTGTTTTCGTATTCACCTTGCTTGTTTGTTGCCGTTGTTGTTGTTAAGTGTATTTGAGTAATTTGTTAAGTTTCTGTTAAATACGGTCATCTTTGTTTTACAACACGTTGGTGGTAGTCCATCATTCGGAGGTAGCCCTGAATGCGGCCCTGTACGCCGTCCTTGCTTTTACTATAGTACCAACTAACATATTTTATGAAATCACTCCTCAATTACTTGTTTGGATTGAACGAAACTTCAAATTATAATAATTTGATAATTTTGGACAATTAGTTTAAACAATTAAACTTTCTTTGTCTAAATTTTAAGTTAGGAATAAGATATCGAGATGCGGTTTTTGGGAGGTTGTTTAGACATCATTTAACTACTTTTTCGTAAAAAAAAATATACCAACGCATTTAATTTTTTTGAGAAAATTAACTATTTCTGTTGGAATGTCGAAAAAAGCTCTCTAGCTGCCACATGTGAAACTAACAAACCCTCAAATATTTTAACATTTGTAGCCTCTTCTCAACTAACCCAAGTTTGTTGAAATCGGCTCAGCCATTTCGAAGATACGGGATGTTTTTACGGAAACCTTTGAATACCCCCACCACTTTATTTCAGTGATACAGCAAAAATTGTCAAACAAAAAAGTTCACATTATCCTTGACTTTAAAGATCAGTTTTTTTTGTTAACATAGCGAAATTCGCTGAAACATCACTTTTCTAAATTCAAGATTACAGTCACGCCCCTAGCGGCCATTTCAGAAACTTGAAAATATTTTCCCGGTTTTTCCCTTGGCCGTTTTAGTAATAACCGCATGCCTCTACGAAAAACCATGTATGATTTTATGTTCCTTAGATGTTATATGTCATAACAAGACAGTGCAAAGCGCCATCTATCATACCAGAATTGAACACTGCGGAGAGTGCATAACTGCTACTAGTTGGAACTGTTAGGATTTTTGGTCATTTTCAAAAGAAAATCTGTATTTATTAAAAATTGGGGGCTATTAGTTGCTGAGGATGGGAGAGACGATATACCTCAATTTTTTTATGTTAGTATACAGGGTGTAAAGTTAGTAGTAGATCAATGGAAGCCAGGTGATAGAGGGCCTCAAAACCTATCGAATGAACCCATATATGTGTGGTCCGAAATTTTATAGTTCAGGAGATATTTGCAATTTTGTGAGGTCTCGAAAAAAAAAACGGGATAATGAACTTTCAATCGCAATTACAACTAAACCATTAGGTACAGGGCTGTGATTTTTTTTCTGAGATGAGCTAAATGGTTAGTTTTAGCAATGGTTATGTCACTTTTCAACAGAACTTATTAGAAATCAACGCAAAAAATCTGAAATTCATTTATTTCGTGAAAAATCTCTTCCATCCCTTAACTTTTGAGGGCGGTAAAAAAATGAGGCTGTATTTCATTATTCATTTTATTGTAAAAACTATTTCAACCCATGTAGAATAAACCCAAAGGGTACAGCTTGCTACGATAAGAACAACAAGAAATTCTATTTTACGACCTACAGTCCAGACGACTTGATGGATTTTGACATATGAGGTACTGTTAGATTCGTCCTAGCAGTGCGAGTGATACTGTGTACATTAACATTTTGTAATTTTTTTTACGCAAATAACCAAATCAGCTTAACGAGCCTGGGCATTCATCTCGGCATTTCACGTGCGGGAGCGTTCAAACTTCGGTCCGACCGAAATTACTAAGTCAAACAATGGTCCAGCGCGGAATTTGTATCTAACGTTCGGCATCTGAGTAGAATCATGTCATATTCTCCGCGAGATTATGCAGAATTGTATTACTATTATGGTGCTGTACTAGGTAATGCTCGAGCAGCTGCTCGCATGTATCGGCAGTATGTGGTTAGACGAGGTGGATCACAAGCGGCGGTATATTCCGACTACCGCGTTTTTCTACGCATACATAATATGTATATGTTGGGCCGCAATACTGGGTACTCATCGTCAGCTAGGAGCGCCGAGGGTACTCCCAGAAGAAATAGAAGATATAATAGAAGCAGTCGAGACAGATCCCTCTATAAGCACCAGAGCCATTGCCCGAAGCAGAAACATATCCCATCCTTCAGTGCACACAATACTACGCTCGGAGAACATGCATCCTTGCCATTTACAAAAAGTACAAGAATTGCTTCCAAGCGGCTATGCATAACGGATTGAATTTTGTGAGATTATGTTGAGAAGGTGCGAAGAGGATGAAACTTTTTTCGACAGCATCTTATGGACAGATGAATCATTTAACTTTAACCGAAATAGAATATTCAACATGCACAAATTCCATTCATGGAGCGTGGAAAATCCACACACTATTCGTAGACGAGCTTTCAACGACACTTCGGCGTTAATTTACTCAGCACTCAACACAGTACTCAACAAAAAATTAATTGGACCATTTCAAACATGTTATTTAAAAGTTAGTTAAATCAAATTATCTTCCACATTTGTACCTTGTAATGCGACAAATTACGTATCCAATGGTAAGATTATATATGTTATGTATATGTATGTACTTTGAAGTACATATCGTACAACATAGTTTATGTATGTCGAATTTAGTAAATTAAATAATAGAGAGCTTACGTTTTATTATAAAATTAAGCATAAATGCACATACATATGTACCAAAATAATCAAGAATTATTAATCAAAATCATTAATGAATTTATCAAATTATGAAGCTTGGAATTATTCATCAATTTTTTTTAAGGTTGTTATAATGCGAGATCAGAGCTTTGTCCCTCAGTCTTCTCAAAAGTAAAAGTTCGTTGAAGGATGTACCATTCTCTTCAGCCCATTGTAAACCTAGCTCAAAGGCTTTAATTGCGTCTTGTGCTGTGACTTGTGGAGCAGTTGCAATCACGTCGTCGTTATTTTCCTGATTGTTTGTTGTACGTATATACTTAGAAACCTCCTTTATAATCTCTTCGTCAGACATTTCATGAAGAACATTTTCCTCTTTATCCATTCCACGGCACCAGATTTCCAAATATTCCGGACTTATCTGTGTTTCAGTAGCGACTTGTTCTATAACTTCCGAAGTTACACTGATTTGTGGAACGTTGCTCGGAGTGGTGACTATATCTGGTCATAACTTTTTCCAAGACGATTTAATAGTTGATGACGGTATCGCATTCCACGACTGACAAAGAGCAAAAACCAAGTCTTTCATTTTTAAAGTTTTTTCTATTGGTTGGTCTTTTGATAGGGCTCTCAGAAGTAGGTTTTTCTTAGAGTCTTGCTTGACAAACTGATTGATATTCTGGTCCATTGGTTGAATCAGTGCAGTGCAATTTGGTGGAAGAAACATCGCAGTGATACATTTATCCTCAGTTGTTAGTTCTTCTTCAGACGGATGACCGGGAGCGTTATCAAGAAGCAATAACGCTTTTTGAGGAAAATTATGATCTTTTAACCATTTTCTAACTTCAGGTACGAAGCATTCATCAAACCACTTTTTGAAAAGGTCTTTTGTCATCCATGCACTTTTTTGTCCGTAATAGTGTACAGGTAAATCAATGTTTTTGAATGCCTGTGGTTTATTAGATTTCCCAATGACCATCATCTTAAGCGCGTGTGTGCCCGCAGCGTTGGCACATGGTAGTATGGTTACACGCTCTTTAGTTACTTTTCGCTCAGGTACGGATTTTTCGTTACAATAAACGAAAGTTTCGTTAGACATCACACGCCAAAAAAGCCCTGATTCGTCTGCATTGTCCACCTGTGACGGGTCAAGATTTAAATCGTTCACCTTTTGCAAAAATCTTAATTTAAAGGGCTCTATGCAGGTGGCATCGTTAGAAAGTTTATCTCCTGTAATAGTCATTAAACGTATGCCATGACGACTTTTAAAACGTTCTAGCCATCCTTTGCTGGCCACTAAATCATCTTTTTGTGTTATTTGCTTATAAAAAAACTTTGTTTTCATGGCCAACATGGGTCCTGAAATTGGTGCATGCCTATTTCTTTCCTGAAGAAACCACATGTACAAAGCTTCTTCCTGTTCAACTTTCTTGAGTGCCTGTCTCTTGCCTGGCCCGCAGTCAGTAGTTGACACGAACTTCTTGATTTTCTCGTGGTTTCTTTTAATGTCATAAATTGTAGATCGGCCTACGCCGTATTCACTTGCTAAACTACTGAAAATTTCGTTGCGATTTAAGCGGTCTAAAATATGACATTTTTCTTTAATTGTCAATGTTTTGTGCTTTCGCTTCTGCGTTTGTGATGACATTACTAGGTACTATACTTAATACACAATGAATAAATAGTAAACAATGAACGCACTCTAGGCCGTACCGCTATCACAAGTAGTCAAATCCAAACTAAGTAAAACAATGCTTACGCGTCGAGCACGATAGCGGTGACGCGTACAAGTTGTAACCTGTTCAAACCTGCGTGATCTACATTAGCGAAGATTGTCAAATATGTACGTATGTATGTAATATTCAAAGACATGTCGGATTACAGGGGGCGCCGGATTAGACAGGGGCCGGATTATCGAAGGTCCACTGTTGGTTCTGTACTTGTAGGTGGTAAGGAGTCTATTGCGTTTCGTACGTTTATCGCATCACAACAACAAATGTGACATGATACACTCGTCGTAGCAAGCTGAAATTTTCAGGGAATTTTTGGCCTTGAATTGAAATAGTTTTTACAATAAAATTAATAATGAAATACAACCTCATTTTTTTTAACGCCCCCCCCCCCCCCCCAAAGTTGAGGGATGGAAGAGATTTTTCACATAAATGAATTTAAGATTTTTTGAGTTGATTTCTAATAAGCTCTGTTAAAAAGTGAGATAACCATTGCTAAAACTAACAATTTAGCTCATTTCAGAAAACAAATCACTTTCCTAAACCTAATGGTTTAGTTGCAATTGCGATTAATAGTTCATTATCCCGTTTTTTTTTTTAATTTCACAAAATTGCAAATATCTCCTGAACTATAAAATTTCGGACCACACATATAGGGGTTCATTCGATGAGTTTTGAGGCCCTCTATCACCTGACTTCCGTTGATCTACTACTAACTTAATAGACGGTATTCATACTCCGCCAGTCTCGGTAATTCTACACACCCACTAGACATATTTCACACATCATAGATTTCCACGAACATTGTCCTTGAATTTAAAATGATGCAAAAATATTTCCAGAAGACGCGTCTCTGTTGTTGGCTGTCGTACTGCCGTGGATCGTCATCCACGCGAGGTTATAGTTATAACAACGTTGTTGGGCGCCCGCACGAATTTCTCTCAGGGCAGGAGGGAGGAAGCATTCATCGTTTTGGGAAAGTATAGCTGCGTTTTTGAAGAGCGAGGGGTAGCAAATTTCCTCAGGGGGAACCGAATCCTAAAACGCCCCAAAGTCCTACTCAAAAGCATGCTAAATACGCAAATCTTAATTGTATAGGCCCGTTTGATTGACTTGATCCATTAATTTTTCCGTTATACCCACATGTTCGTAGCTAACTTTTTTCTCGGAGGTGCTAACTTGTGTCGAACACAATCCTTTATGAAATGATGACAGTTGCCTGGGAAGTGCCGAGTCAACCTACTTGGCGCCATGTTTTTGAACATATATAGAGCTGTTTTATGGATTTCCCAAAAAATGTGGGGATCACTGACGTGTCATTTAATTACTTGATGCATACCTTGAAAATGCTTTGAAGGTCCAGAGTCTACCTACCTGACGCATTTCTACGTGTTTTCCCAAGACGGTTGGAGGACAACAAACTCAAAAAAAATTCTTAAGCCACTATCTGCTGCACAAAAAAGTCCCCAAAAAAGGTCTGATGTGAAACATAAAAGTCCTGAGTCTACCTACTTGGATGTATGTTTGGGGCTTATCAAAAATTACTCAAAAAGGACAAGATTCCTAAAATTTTCCTGTAACTATTTTGTATTAGGTATTTATTATAGAATACAATAATACCTACTGTTACCATCTACTGTCAGTACGCAGCACTAATGCTTAGAGTCTTCAACTGCATGAGGTAATTATACTCTGCTAAGTATAGCTTAAAATTACTACGAACAGATGGCAGCACTATATCATTATATGGTGCTACTCCATGTCCATGAGCATAAGCGTTTCAAGTTACTAAAACTTCAACGTCTAAAAGATATCTGTATCCAAGAAATATTCAATGAGCAAAAGTAGATAATGCCACCATGCGTATTAGAATCTTTGTACTCATATTAAATTTATAGTGAGAGTTGTCAAGTATACGATACATGCTCATAGTATATAAAGCGGTAACAATCTGGTAAACAGAAACAAAGACATTTGCGGAACTGAAATTCTCTGAACTGTGAACTGACAATTAAACTTCACCTATCTCTACTAAAAAATTATTTCAACAAAACAATCTTTTCATCGAAAAATGAGGGAATTTTTTAACCTCCCCTCACGGAAATTTAAGTTTCTTGGATCTTTGAAGATGCTTTGTCCCAAACGCTGATCGGTCCTAAAGGATCTTTTTGACTAATGACGTAATGACTAGTTAAATTTTGTGTAACCTATATCAATTTACGAAGAACCGCCATCTGTGGGATGGTAGCCCAACTAAACGATCTTTTTTTTGTCTAGTTGAAAATGCACAGAATTAATTTAAAATCATTTAAGAAAGGTATAAGTATGATTTTTTTTATTCGGTTACTCTTCAATAGATGGCGCTGCATATCGATAACCACCACATTTTGAATGACTACCTTAGGCGGCAGTCACTGCAGTCAGTAGCCAGTAGAGATAGCCAGGCTTATGGCAGATACTGCGGATCAGAGATGTAGCGGTTACTCATTTGAGGAATGTAATATTTGAAGATCATACATGTTGGAATCTTCACATAACTTTTTGAACAGTGGAGCACTACGAAAAGTTCAGCCGACGTTGTCAACCCCTGAGGTCCTGAGAATTATCAGAAGTTTGGACATTACTTGTGATATAACCAAAAGGCACAGCACTAAAGGATGTTTGCAGACCATAACATTTGTAAGATTTTATATGTCTGAATAACCAGTCATGATTTGTAACTGCTTTTTGTCCAAATTTGTTTCCATACTTCATTTTAAATCAGCTATTCTCAAAGCAGCAGGGTTGATATATGCAAAGCTCACTATAATTTCAAAGGAATCAAAGCCACATACATGCCCACAGGGCAGTAACAGGGGGGCCATGGTCTCTCCTGGGAATCCGCTTTGACTTTAAAATTTGCATATTTAGCATGCTTTTGTGTACAACTTTGAGAATGTTTCTGGATTTGTCCCCTCTGAAAAAATGTCCAACTCTGGTTGTCAAAAAATTTTGGGGCAAGTACAATTTCACAAAAAGTTATGTCGTGATGATGATCAGCACCCCTGAGAAAAATTCCTGTGGGTATCCATGGACAATAATATTATTGCTTTAATAAAAACGAAATCTGAATTGTAGTAACATAGTAACACAGTTCAATTTTGGCCTAATTTTTGACTTATGCAGGTGCCAACAAAGGCTGGGGAATGAAAACATCATCATAATAATGTTAATTCTGATTTGTTTGTTTGTAGAAAAATGTATATTTATATAATAAATATATATTTAGGTATTTGCAGTATGTTTTTCTTCCTTTCCAAATTAGTTAGTAGATATGATTTATCTTATAACAGCTTGTGTTATTGATGTTGCTATTTTAGCATACAAAAAAGCACTTATTCGTCAACATAACGCAAAATGTCAATAACACATGCTGTTATAAGATCTCCCATATCCCACCAAATTGCTATATATAAAAGTTTAAAAATATCAGATTTATATGTAGGGCTGGCAACGTTGCGGCATATTAATGCACAATCTGGCAACCATGTTGCACCCTCACAAAATAGCCGCTGACAACAGTGACAAGTGACAACCTCACAAGTCACCGTGTTGCCATTGAATAGCATGGAATTAAACATCTCTGTCTGAATAAAACCTTCTTCAGTGTATATGTTTGTGCTAACAGCCGCTGTAGGTTGCAGCGCCACGTCAACCCAGTGTTTTGTACTTGAATGAATGGTTGTTGTCCTCGATCATGTCTTCTCTCTGAGATACTTTATGTTCTATAATTATGTTATTTACGTTCTCTACTTGCCTTTGACATATGATACATCAATATGTCATTGGATTTAGGTTCCTCCTAATTTATTTATTTATCAGCAATAACTAGGTAATTCAACGCAATAACTGGCGATTACTGATATTCGTAAGATAAACTACATATCCCTCTCACCCTGCACCCTATAATTCCTCCCAAAAGCTAGGTTAAGACGTGTCCTATTATGTAATGTTATTCAACCGAAACTAAAATTTTATTGCAGATATGTTCCGATTAACCATAACCAGAGCCCTAAACGGGGCCAAAGTTACCCCCAAACCATTATTCATTGCCGCCCGACTGCAGAGTGGCGAGGCAAAGAAGCCAGAAAAGATTGAAGTCTTCATAGATGATCAGCCTGTCTTAGTTGAACCTGGAACAACCGTTCTGCAGGCAGCAGCCTTAATAGGCGTCGAAATACCTAGGTTTTGCTATCATGAACGTTTAGCTGTTGCTGGAAACTGTAGAATGTGCCTTGTTGAGGTCGAAAAGTCTCCCAAACCTGTGGCTGCATGTGCTATGCCAGTTATGAAAGGTATTTGACCCATATTGTGCAATATACTTTTTGAAAACTGTAGTGTGCAGTCACATCTTGATTTTCCTTCAGTAACACTAATTTTTAAATGTATTTCAGACAAAAGTAGATCAAATTAAAAGAAAAGACCTTTTTTATGTATAATATGGCTTCCTAAACTTATTCTGTGATTATCTACAATGCTGTCATGTTTCTTATATTTTCAGTACTTTTAAAATCATTTATTACCTTCACAACTATTTTTTTTATTAAATTCAAGAAGGCTGCAGTAGTAACAAGAATAATATTTTTTCTGTCAACAGATATTGTTATCGTTGGCTTAATAAAATGAGTCATTTTAATCTCTCTATAAAGTCTAGAAGTATTTTGGTTGAGAACATGTGGCAATCTGAGATAACTCTTTTTTATAATTTGTGGTCTCTATAGACAAACCCGTTCTTATTTTTTATTAGTATGTCTCCAAGATTTATTTGTGTAAATGAAAGAAAACTGATAATCTAGAATATCACCAAAAACTACTTTTGAATTTGTTATACATTATGCTTGTGCTTTAATCAATTTTCCATCATTCAACATTGCAAATAGATATAGAGAGCAACTCCATCCAAGTGTCTAGAAATATTACAAGCATTCAGTTCCAAATCTTGCAATAAGCACTGCATCTAACAATTTTCATTCATTGCTAAAAATGAATCTTTAAGAAGTAATGAGTGAATTTTGTAATGTAACATCTGAAACTCATCCTTTGGTTATCTTGCTGTTATTTATTGGAATACACTGTATAGTAGTGACAAAATCAAATTATATAATATATTCTCATTGTTATTTTCAATTTGGCATTTGAAAAAGACCACTGAGTTAGATTCTATATCTGGCAGTTACTAAAACTTATTGAAAAAGGTTCATTAGATATAGGTATCCATGAAGGTAATTATTTTATCATGATCATTTTGAACTTTTAATTTCTACAGGTTGGCGTATTAAAACAAACTCAGAGATGACCAGAAAAGCTCGAGAAGGCATAATGGAATTCCTGCTAGTAAACCACCCCTTGGACTGTCCCATTTGTGACCAGGGAGGAGAATGTGACCTTCAGGATCAAAGCATGGCATTTGGTTCAGACAGGTCTAGGTTCACAGACATTGATTTTTCTGGAAAGAGGGCAGTGGAAGATAAAGATATTGGGCCTCTGGTAAAGACTATCATGACCAGATGTATCCATTGTACTAGGTGTATTAGGTTTGCCTCTGAAATAGCAGGAGTTGATGATTTAGGTGAGAATTTTTATTTTTACTATACATCAGAATTGATCCAACTCACTAAGCAACAATACTAGATGTTTCTTCTGCAACAGAACCACTTGCCTTTTCTGCTCCTAATCTGACATAGAGTGAATGTAGTCACATTTATGCACTACACAAGTAATACTTCAAGCTAAAACATTAGAGAGTGGTCATACTTCTGGTATCTGTACTAGAACACCTGAATTCACGCGGTACAAGTATGATAGTGTGGTCCATCTACTGGTGGAGGACCAAGTGATCCATATGTTGAATTCACCAATAACTCTTCCATGTCCACCTGTTGCTGAGTGATCATGTGAATATGCTTGTTATGTTTTACTCTATCTCATGTTTACATATGGATTAGCTTAATTAATTAATTTGGATAGATGAGCAGGAGCGAAGCCAATGTATTGTTTGTTTTAATGCATACTTTTGCCTACCAAAGTGACTGTGTTGAATCAACATAATAATAATACTTACTACAATTATCTGCAAACACTCGCACTTTTAAAAAATAACACTAAAAATATGAATTTGATGACAGAACTGTCCAAAAATTGACTTGTGTCAAGTGCACTTAGATTCTCACCACAAACTATGAGAATTAGGAGATAAACAAATCCCTGACTGACTCCTTCTTCCTGGTCTGAACTCGTTGGGTTAGACAGTGGCCAAAATGCAAAGGCAGAATGTTCAAGCAGACAGTTCACAACTAGAAGGGTTACACTGTAATGCATTCTTGGCGAATGAGAAACTAGCAAACTACCAGTATAATTTTTCAAATTGTTTTCTAGTATGTGTTTCAAATTCTTATTAAAATTGTTTACTCAGGTACAACTGGTCGAGGCAATGATATGCAAGTAGGAACCTATGTAGAAAAACTGTTCATGTCAGAACTGTCAGGAAATGTGATAGACCTGTGCCCTGTGGGTGCCCTTACAAGCAAGCCTTACAGCTTTACAGCCAGGCCATGGGAAATTAGGAAAATAGATTCAATTGATGTATTGGATGCTGTAGGTTCAAATATCGTTGTATCCACAAGAACTGGAGAGGTTATGAGGATTGTACCTAGGGTAAATGAGGAAATTAATGAAGAATGGTGAGATATATGAAAACATAAATATAATAATGTATTCATGTTTGTACACAAAAGTGTTTGCACACGCAAAGAAAAGTCTCAACATTTGAGGAATAAAATTTAATACAAACAAATAACACATATGTACACTTAGAAAACATAAGTGAGAAAACAAAGAATCAATCATGGAATAAAGTCAGTAGTAAAGTAAGTGTAATAGGCTGTCATCAAAGTCCATTTTGCTAAGTAGGTATTCAAACTATGGATCATATAAGTTATTTTAGATAACTTTTTTGATAAAGTGGTGATGTGTGATACCCAAGTTAAGTTCGCGTCAAAAATATTCCAAGGAATTTCATGGGGTCTACTAAATTGCTTTTGTGTGGACGAGTACTGAATAGAAAAGATTGAGTTTTTGCTATATTGAGACACAAACTGTTGGCATTAAACCAGTCTTGTATGTAGTCAAAATGCTGCTGAGAATCGAGTAATACCAGGTCAAACTTCACTACAGTTCGGCAGATCATTGGTGTAAGTCAAAAAAAGAATCGGTCCTAAGACACTTCCTTGAGGAAGTCCGTGGTTAATATGTACAGTATTAGATAAAAAAATTTGAAAACTAACATAATGTCCTCTCTCTGACAAATAAGGTGCAATTAAGCACAGGCTGTTACTACTAAAACCATATAGTGTCAACTTCTGAATTAAAATGTGATGTTGGACGCAATCAAATGCTTTTGTAAGAACATAGGCGTTAGCTATAGCGAACGTGTTATCTTCCAGACAATTGTTGATGAATCTGATAAAATCAATATTCAAACTGTCTAATACAGAATAAATTGTTACATTTGAAGTATTCACATATCTGACTCTTCAGAAGTATTTCGAAAATGTTTGCTGTAATTGGTATTATGGAAAAGGGTCTGTAATTACATTTTCACATCCTTTCTTGAAGAGTTGGATAATCTTTGCGAGTTTTAAGAAGGCAGGAAAGACATTATTTTCTATACACACGTTTATCAATTTTGTATTAGGAAATACAAGTTATTTAGGGATAATTTCACATATACGATACAAGTAGTGATTGTAAAGATTGTGGTGCTGCCTGCCTAGTTATGACTTGACACCCTTATCCCTCCTTTAATAAGATAGCTGTCACCACAGTGCCACTGTTGCCATTTACGAGGTTTGTCCGTAAAATACGTATAATAAATTCGGGGCTTCGTGTCAAGGCGTTGTGGAGGGGTGGCCTGGTGGTGCCCTCTCTCTATGCTATCCTCTCTATGCTCAGTTCGAGCCGGAGCGCTCTGCGAGTAAGTAGGAATTACGTGTGCTTGTTGAAAGTAACCCTTTTTTCACCTGCCATCAGCATGGAGCTCTCTCTGATCGAGCAACATCGCATCAACTTTCTTGCAAAGCTTGGCAAGAATGGTCGTGAGATTTTTGAGTGTTTGGAACAAGTTTACGGAAACAATTCTCTGAAGGAACCAACCGTCAACAAGTGGTTGAAGAGGTCTCAGGAAATGTTTCACGGATTCGGAGCTGTGTTCTTAAAGACCGTCGATTGACAGTTGGAATGATAGCTGAGGAACTGCCAATCCCCAAAACAATCGTCCACGAAATACTGACATAAAAACTTGAAATGAAAAAATTATGCGCGAAACTCGTTCCGAAGCTCTTGACTCCGGAAGAGAAAGCAAATAGGGTTGCTTGCTGTGAGGATTGGTTGGAAGCAGAGGAAAGAGGGGACTTCATCATTGGAGACGAGTCTTGGTTCTACGAATTCGATGTGGAGCTGAAAGCAGGGGAACCGAGAAAAAACAAGTCGAAAAAATCAAGGTCCAACGTGAAAACAATGTTGATTGTTTTCATTGATTCTCAGGAATTTGTCCTTCCCCGCCAGTCAGTGAACGGAAATTTCTACATTGAAGTTATGCGTCGACTCTGAGCTCGTATGGCCCGAGTTCGACCGGATCCGGCACAACGGGGCAGGTGGATCCTTCATCACGACAACGCACCTGCTCACACGGCCGAGTTTTTGGCCCGAAGCTCAATCACGGTGACAGAACATCAGCCGTATTCACCCTTCTTATCCGCTTGCGACTTCTTCGTGTTCCCAAATTGGTGCTTCGGGGGCGGTACTTGGGGGATGTGGAAACCGTCAAGGCAGAAATGACACGGCAAATGAAGAGCCTCACAATTGAAGACTTTCAGCGATCGTATCAACCGTGGAAACGACGTTGGCAGAAGTGCATCTTATCTCAGGGGGAGTACTTTGAAAGAAACCATATTGAAATACCTGAAAAATTGTAACATAATGGAATTATTCTACTTTTATACGTATTTTCCGGAAAACCCTCGTACTCTATGATGCTGAAATATTGCGATGATAGGTGATTTTTTGTTCTTTTAGGTTAGCAGATAAGTCTAGGTTTTCATATGATGGCTTGAAAAGACAAAGACTTGTTACTCCAATGATCCGAGATAACACAGGTGCATTGAAACCTGTTGATTGGGAAATTGCGTTACTGACAGTTGCAAAAGTCATTAAAAATGCTGGTATGGTATATTTTTCTGTTTTGAAATTTCTGTAGAAACATGAACACGTATTAACTGAACATTCTTTGAATATATTTTACATCTAAAATGTTCTTTAAGGGTCAAACATTGGTGCCATAGCTGGTGGATTTGCGGATGCGGAGGCTTTGGTAGCCGTCAAAGATCTCCTGAATAGGTTGGGCTCTGAAGCCTTGTGCACCGAACATACTTTTCCTCTGGATGGTTCAGGTACCGATCTTAGGTCCAGCTATCTCCTGAACAACAAAATTGCTAATGCTGAGGAAGCTGATTTGGTGTTGCTGGTTGGTACTAACCCCAGGTTTGAGGCACCTTTGCTGAATGCTAGGTTTAGGAAGGCTTGGGTGCATAACGAACTGGAGGTAGGCTGTACATAGTGATTTATTTATTTATTCAACTTACGCGCGAGCCCATTATACATGTGTATTATAAATAGAAAAATGGTGCCAGTATAGGATGGATGGATGGATTGATTGATGGATGTATGGATGGATAGATAAATATGCTTTATTGTTTGAAAAACACAATCATTCTTAATGACAAAGTCAACTTCATGACAAAATTGTAAATGTATTGTAAGACTCATACTAGGTATGATTGGGTTTACATATTAGAACATTTTCAAGTTCATTGCAGAATTGTTCGTTCTTTTGACAGGATCAGGGAGGCACATGTAAATTTTCAGACCAGTATAAACTAATGTAAAATACTATTTATATGCATCCAGGTCGCGTCAATAGGCCCAAAAGTGGACCTCAGATACTCATATGAGCACTTGGGAGACAACCCTAACCTCCTCCAGCAGATCGCCAGTGGTCAACACGAGTTCAGCAAAAAGTTGAAGGCCGCCAAAAAACCCTTGATCATTGTTGGCTCTGAATCTTTAGAAAGACCTGACGGCTCGGCCATTTTATCTGCTGCGCAGTCGATCGCGGCGCAAGCCAGCTGCAGCAAGGATTGGAAGGTTTTGAATGTTCTGCATAAGGTTGCCAGTCAGGTAAGATTTTTTGCAAGCATACTCAAAAATGCATGTAAAAAGTATTTTCTAAACAAAATCAGATTTCAAAACTTTTGACAAGGGCCCTAGCTACAGACCAGTACGTGCAGATGCTAATACGTTTCTGTAAAGATCATACTAGTGCGTGATGTCAAAAGTCTAGTTGTTGTTGTTGAAGATTTATTTAGCATTAATGCTACAATGTCAATTTTTGTGTAATGATTCTGTTACATATTTTTCTTCAATCCATTTTCTGCAATTTTACATTCTTGTCTATTAAAATTAAAATTACGTCACTATGTATTTTGATTATTCATAAAGTGATTTTTTAATTTCACCTTAAACATTTCTAAATTCGAACTTTGTTTAATATCATTATTCAATTTAATAAATTCAAATACTCCCTTTTGAAATATAGATTTACTAGTTATGCTACTATTACAATTTTACAGATGAAAATCTATACTGCCTCTAGTTTCGTAGTTATGATAATGACTATTTAATTTTGTGAAGTTCTCTAAATGTGGTGGTAATAAATGATTTTTTAATTTGAATATGAAAACGAGAACTAAATAATATATGAAATTTTTCACATCCAACCACTGCAGTTCTAGCAGTATATTTGTTTTTGTTTAAAATGATTCTCATAGCCTTATTTTGTAGAATTTGTAATTTTGAAAATATGTTTTCATTTGCTGTAAACAAGATGGTTGAACATTATAAAAACTGGGGAAGAATTATAGTGTTATACAAATTTTTTTTGGAATACATACATTGTGGTTTGGTTCTGTTCCACTAACAGATTTGTGAGCTTTTTTTTTCATTTACCTTAAGGGCAAAAAGTCTCGACAAACCAACAACACATTTAAGGGCCTCGTTTTTTATTATCCACGCACGAAAAGCATCCTCGACGGGATTTATACTCGTCGAATTATCGCAGTTTTTTATTTTATTAATAACTGTAAGCTATTGAAACATCCAGAAGTCATAAACATGCTGAAAGTGTCAAATGAGGTTTCAAGCTGCCTTATGTGACAACAATGGAGTAAACGGTACCTGAGTTATTGAAAACCAATCGAAGCACTGCCAGTCGGTGATATTTTTGCCATTAAATACCTTAACGGAAACAAATCATCTTATGAGACTAATCTAATAGCGACGACAGGTTTCAGCCGCACCCCGGTTTCCCCACTTGCGCACTTTTTTCGCTGGGCTGTGATCGCCAAAAGTTTCGAATATTTTTGATGCGTTATAACCTCTACATGCGACTGTTGGCTTTTCCTTCTTTTACAATCTGAGAAATGGCTGCACAGATTTTGATGAAATTTAGACAGGGATACTCCGTGAGGTCGTTTTTTGAAAATCGTTTCATTGGCTATGGAGCAACAAACAGTTCCAGATCGTTTCCAAACTCATTTTTTGTACTTATACAAAGTGATCGATATTCTAAAATTTTCCAAAATTTATTTTCCCTGGTTTTTTAAATTCCTACAGACCTCAGGGCGTAGCTGGTGGTAAGAAATTTTAAATTCAGTATTTTTTATACTTGGGCCACCACGCAGGCCTAAAGCGCAGCTCATAGTTTCTATCACTACACACCGCGCAGCGCAGCAGCTCCCAAAGCATGAGATATTATATTCATATGTTAACGTCATCCTGAAAAGTTTTATCACATACATTTGTCGCCAAAGTCTGCTCTCTGGACGAGCGGATTTGTACCGTATGCTGAGAGAATTGTGTGTCGAGGATTTCCAATTTTTCAATATGAAACATTTGAACACATGCAAATGTATTTGTGGGAAGCACGGAGTCAATCTGCCTACAGGCTGGATCTCAGATGACGCTCTGTGAATCGGGCCCCGGGAGCCTAGAGGTTTCACAACACCTTTCCAGACCACCCACTCCCGTTGGATAGAAAAAACAGGGTCTTTTACACCCCATGCCCATTGGCGAGGAAGTATTCGCGAAAAAATGAGGCATTATATTTTTTGGATCTAATATAACATGTACAGCATGGAGAAAAGTATATAATCAAATATGAATATTTACCTAAATACCTTTAGAAAACGAATTCATACTTCATTGCTCCATGAACAAATGCGTTATTAGTAGAAAAACTAAATTCTTTATTTTTACATTATGTGCAATGAACACAATACAAGTCTGAATATAAGCACTTTTTTATGAGTGACAAAAATATGTAGACAAATTCTTTTCAACATTAGTTTAGTACAGTTTCGTGTCAGAAGAGGATTCGTTTGTGTTTATCAAGTATTGTGGAATAAGTTGAGTGATTTTAAGACCATGCCGCGTGGTCCAGAAATTTCTTTCGATGTGAAAAATAAGATCATTGAGTTATACAAAGATGGTTAACGTCAAGTCGACATTGCCAAAAATTTGAAGCTGAAGCGTAAAGCTGTTTGGGCAATATTGAACAAATATAAACAAAAAGGTATCTTGGAAGCCTCAAAGAGAAGTGGTCGTCCTAGGAAACTAACTGTTAGATCAGTTAGATTAATAAAGATCCGTTTAAAACCCCAAGACAAATTAAAGCCGAAATCGAGACAAAAGGAATTGCCAGTGTTTCTACGAAACTATAGGTAGAAGATTAAATGATTTGAAGTTATTTGCACGTCGCCCGAGTAAGAAGCCGCTAATCTCGAGGAAAAACCGTAAGGACCGATTACAATTTGCACGGTTGCATCTTGATTGGAGCATCTGTGTCTGGAACAGGGTATGTTTCAGTGACGAATCCAAGTTTAATATGTTTGGATCAGATGGTGTTAATTACATTAGACGTCCTAGTGGACAAAGATTGAACCCCAAGTACACTTTGCCCACTGTCAAACATGGAGGCGGGTCTGTTATGGTTTGGAGGTGCTTTTCGGGGTTTGGGATGGGACCTTTACATAGAATAGATGGCATTATGGATAAGTTTGTATACACAGACATACTAAAGCATGTCATGTTATCCTATATGGAAGACAATATGCCCTTAAGATAAATCTTCCAGCAAGATAATGACCCGAAGCACACATCAAATCTCGCAAAGAAATTCTTTCTGGATGAAAAAAATACCAGTTCTCAAATGGCCTTCACAGTCTTCCGATATAAATCCCATTGAAAATCTATGGGAATACTTAGATAAGCAAATACGAAATAAAAATTATTCAAACAAGGATACACTTTTAGCCGCGTGAGAAATTAATTTTTTATTGAAGAGGGTCTAATGAATTCATTTATTGTATAAGTATTATACTATAACGAATGATGTATACAGGTTGGTGTAATAATAAAACAAGTTAAAAAAGAAATACAGCACAATATTAATTTCTCTATATACTTTTGTCCATTACTGTATATATCATATTTCGGTCTGTCCACTAATCCTTGGCCTCTCTATAACTTGTAAAATACTGCTAGGAATTGATTGTTTTTTTTTTTTCATGATGCTCGTACACCTCCCGCCTCGTGATCTTCATTTTTTAGCCAGCGGCATAAGGGCCTAAATCTCGCTCTGCCTCGGGGTTTCTCCAACCGTATTGTTAACCATTCCTGGGCCCTTAAAAAGCTTATAGTCCCGAGGACTTTACATCCGCCACTGTACCCAAGACCGTTTTTTCATTTATGTTTTGTTCTTTCAGGTTGCCGCTCTTGATATTGGTTACGCTCCAGGGGTTGACAAAATCAGGGAAGGAAACTTCAAGGTGCTTTTCTTATTAGGAGCGGATGAAAATGCTGTGGAAAAGTCTGATTTGCCCGCGGATTGTTTCATAATTTACCAAGGTGCGAACGGTTTAAAAAGGATTGAAATTAACCGATAGATGTGGGGTAATTTCTATGGATATAAAGTTGAAAGTTCAACTTTATCTCATTTTTAGGTCACCATGGAGACAGGGGCGCAGCAATGGCTGACGCAGTGCTACCAGGGGCGGCGTATACAGAAAAACAAGCAACGTATGTCAACACAGAAGGCAGAGCTCAGGAGACATTGGCAGCTGTCACGCCACCAGGAAGAGCTAGGGAAGACTGGAAAATTATCAGGGCACTCTCGGAGATATTAGGTGTCAAGCTGCCCTACGATAATTTGAACGACATCAGAGATAGGTAAGGATATTTAGATCGTTTTTCGGGAAGTTCTAAGAGATTGAGTTTTTTCTCTTTTTCTAGGTTGGATGAGGTAGCACCACATCTTACTCGGTACGGGTCTGCAGAGGACGCGAATTTCGTCAGTCAAGCACAGGAGCTAGCCAAGGTTAGATATCATTATCAGTTTCGTCATTTTTAATTCCCATGCCAAATGTACATAATAACTTTTATAACTCGAACAGTACCCCTCCTATTTGGATGCGATTTCGACACAAATGTTACTACCATGTCCAAGGGGAGAATGCTTTGAGAAGTTTGAAAATCGATCCACTCGCGGTAGAGCTACGATTTAGAGATTCATCTTCAAAAAATTTTAGAAAATTGGTTGAATGGTTTAAATGTTCCATATTTGGTAATATATTTAAGTATGTAGTGTTCGCAATAACGAATCGGATAAAACTCAGGACCATTATTTATTCAAAAGTGTTTACACTAAATATAATACGTTTATCTTGTTTTATGCCTATCTGATTTAAAATATAGCCACGATCATTAGTGCTGATTATGCTTTTAGTGTTTTTTATTCTGTGGGAAGGAACTTTTCTAATATGAGTCTGTAGCGTACAAAATACCACAAAAAAATACGACTGAGTCTACAGTCACACTAGCACTGCTAGCGGGAGTAAAATCGTCGCAGCCATTGCTTTTTCAATCAATGAGCCGTATTCATAAAAGAGAAGCATATCCTCGGAAGCATAAGGTAAAAGTATAAGCTCTTGCTTCGGAGAAAAGGGTAGAAGTATAAGCATACCCTTGTTTTCATATTCATAATGATTACCTTATACTCGCGAGGATATCCTCCAAGAAAAAGTAATAGGTTGACTGGTATTTATATCTTGAGCGACATGTCCTGACTTATTCCAGCTTGTAGTTGACGTGGGAGTTCGTTCACTCACCATCACTGACAGTTGTACTCCAGAGCTTACACAAACCGTTCCGTATTTTTACTGGATACAGTTTTTTATCAAATTAATAAGCATGTCATCCTCAAGTGATGAGGAAACTATAGAAGATAATGACAACGACCTGCAGTTCATCGCAGATGAAATTGTCATTGTCCCCATTGTTTTGCAAAAGTCATAAGTTACAAAAATAAAAATGAGAAAAGACGATGCCTTGAAGATGTTGAAAAAATACGAATCGACATTCGGTAAACCATTAGATACTAAGGCTTATTAAAAAAAATCAACAACATGGAATCAAGATTGAATAAAAAAACTGGTAATAAAGCAATTAAATTGTTAGATTGGGAAGAAAAGTTGCTGAAAGCTATGGAAGGTGACTGTAATCCTACAATTGGGAAAATTAGAGGTGCCATTCAGGTTGGTAGTGTTTAAGAAGAAGGAAGTGAACTATATACCGAGTACAGTGAGCAAACACTTAGTATTACATCGCCAGCAATTCAGAAGACATTGCCACCAAAAAGAAAATTAGCAACAGAGAAATACGAAACAAAGGAAACCAAAGGATTAACTACAAAAGAACTGCAACGTCTAGTGCTATTACAGCTGTACCAAACAAGTATTTTACAACAAGAATGAAATTAGAAATGATGCAGCGTCAGGAGCCACCTGTAACTTATGATGTTCACAAAAATAAAACTTATTATAACTTATAAATACGCTTTAATCAGTAAAACTATTTATTAGAATACTCAAGTTTCTGCTTATTTGTTGACCTAGTTGGTGGAGAGGACGTTCGTCATTCTCACGATTTCCTCCATCTTCATCTGGGTCTTGTTCAACTAACTCAAAGTCAGGATCGCCCAAGCTCGTCACAACATTATGAAGTACAATACAAGCAATAATTATTTTCGTCACATTTTCAACTTTACGCGGCAAACGTACTGTAGGATAGGAAACCGGCGTTTCAGTTGGCCGAAGCAGCGTTCAATTATAACTCTTTCTTGTTTTAAAAGCTTATTATAATTTATTTCTGCACCTGGAGTAGGATTTCTGAAGGGAGCCATAAGGCATGGCTCAATACCATAACCGTCATCGCCAAGTGGTATAACATTTGCTTTATTTATTAGTTATGATCTAGTCTGTGAATTTCTCCATATTCTGGAATCATGCACTGATCCAGGCCAACTGACATCAACACATGTAAACATCTCTCTGGCATCACAAGTGGCTTGCATATTTAAAGTAGGTTTCCATTTTCGGTTAATATACTCATCTCCATGGCGATTTGTTTAAGGATTCCTATATGCGTACAATCAATTACACCAATTGCTGTCGGAAATTTATACATGCTTTGCCATATCTGCTTAGCCTCCATCAGTTCATGGTTGGTAGTTGGAAACTTGATCCATTCGTTCGACTGTGCAACTATACTGTTCACAACTCTATCCACAGTCCGAGATACTGTTGCTTGACTAACACCAAGTTCCTGACCGATACCTTGTTGATATCCAGGGTCACCGAGATAGCGTAGACATATCTTCATTTTATGAATACATGAAAGTGCTCCTCCTCGAGTTTTCTCATTCTCAACTAAAAATCTGTCCGCAAGCCATTGTACATTTGCATCGTCGAACCGATATAATTTTTTGAAGTCACGACCAAGTGAAGGTAAACGAGGTTTGTACGTTTTAACATCCCTAACATCCACAATTTCCGCCATCACCGTTTTACCACCTTTCGTTACGAAGTTGAGTCTGCTACTGACCACACTCATAATTTTTGAAGGATATGCTTCCTATGCCAAGTATAAGGTGAAGATTATGAATATCCGTTTACTTATGTCACTGCTTTGAAGAATATGCTTATACTAAAAAAGCAAAAGCATTTACTTCAAATTATTATAAATGCCATCTGGAGGATTTCCTTCAAAATTTTGCAAGTTCAAAGATATCCTTTGTTTTATGAATATGGCTCAATGTCGTCTGTCCGGTAATCTTTGACACCTCTGCAACTGTAAAATATGCTCGGGTTTTAATAAAATAAGCTAATGATCATATAAGTATTCACGAAGTTTGAAAATCGATCCAGTGACAGCGGAGTTATAAGCGAAAAACAAAATTTCAGCACGTTCCCAAACATGCTTGTCGGATATTTTGGTGATTTCTGAGCTTTATCAAAAATAGCTCTTGGATGAGTAGGACTCTAAAAAGCCATACACGTCTTTTTACAATGTTTCTGTCCACTTTAGTGCGCATTAAAAAATGATGTTTAGTTGGTTCAAAAATTCTAAATCAGATGTTTCTTATTTTTATTTAATACACTAAAATGTATCAATATTTTCCAGAAAGCCAAGGTGCAGCTGGACAACACCCCCTTGGACGTGAAAATCAAGGAGTTACAAGACTACTTCATGACAGATTCGATAAGCAGAGCCTCGCCTACAATGGCGAAATGCGTTCAAGCAGCTTTGAAACATCAGCAATCCAAATATCAATAAGACATCATAGTTTAGAGATGCTATTAGTGAGCAGTACGAAATAAGTGTACATTATACAACTTTTAAAAATAATAAACCGTTTTCTTTTTTATTCTGTCCATATTATTTATAAGTATCACTGAGTTACACGAGTTCAAAGTACACACTTGTATAGAGATGTAAGAACTGTAAATTCTGAATATAAATTAAATGTATTCTGTCGTTTCAATAACCTAACATCTGTTGACTGCCAGAAAGTTCATCAAGTACCTGTCAACAATGTCTGGAGATGAATGGGTGGATAAATCGTGAAATGAGGCATTCCGGCCACCATAAGGAGCCAGTGCATAGGTTGCTTAAACGGGCCCTTATGCACCTCTACATTCCTTATATCTCAAGCGTCGCCTTTCTAGCGAAGTTGAGTATGGTCTTGAGTCCAAGCTCCTTGACGTCCTAAGGGTCCAAAGTAATGGACCCCAGTATAGTCTGCCTATAGTAGCTCACAACGATACAACATGCGCCGAGGTCTCTTCCTCAACCCCGCAGCGCTCACACAAGGGATCCTCAGTCACGCTCATTACGTGCAGATAGCGCCTTAACGTGTTATGGCCAGACAACAGTCTCACCAGCAACCTTAGGTTAGCTCTATCCAGAGATAAGCAGAAACGTCCATCCTTAGCACTGGGCCCTACAATGAGCTCCCGTGCCTGACGGAGATGTCTGGAGATACTTTTCCATTTCTGACAGCGTTGTCTTGCAATCCGCGTCTTCATTTTCCTCCCATTTCTTTGTGCGGGCACTCCTAAAGCTGGCTCAGGACCAACGAGCTTGCTGTCTGATCCTGTCTGCGAAAGAACGTCCGCCGTCTCATTGCCCCTTATCCCAGCGTGCCCCGGTACCCACATTAACGATACCGGATGCCTCGCTGCGAGACAACCCAGAGCTTCCCTGCAATACAAGGCTCGAAGTAATCTTACACACTTACTACCTTCATTGCAGCCTGGCTGTCGGATAAGAGAGAGTCTCCGGCTACCGGCGTCCCACTTCTCCCTCGTGGGATACTCCACATTAAACTTGCGGTTGAAGCGATATTTAGTGGTAATGAGATCACCCCTGCTTAGAAGAATGAAGATGGCAGCATGCCCCTTGACAGGATTCAAGAAGGTTAAGCTGCCCTGACTTCATAGTCGATAAGCGACTACTCTCGCTTCACCGCGGATCACTAGATCCGACGGTGGAAGATCCAACAGAACTTCCATTGCATTCAATAGCATTGTTCGCACTGCGCTTGTAATGCTAATACAGGCCAAATGATGAATTTTATTGAGTTTGGCCTTAGTTGTCTCAGTTCTAATGCAAGGCCACGAGACCACGGAGCCGTACAAGAGAGATCGACGTAATATCGTCCTGTAGAGCCAGTGCACCACTCAGGGTTTAAGCCGCCACCTTATACCGACAACACGTCTACAGGCCCACATTGAATTGCGAGTCTTGTTAACTTTGAATTTAACATGCTATCTCCAGTTCAGTTTGCAGTCCAGGATAATTCCCAGTTATTTTACTGATTGGGATAATACTAATCTAGTCCCAAAGAAGGTCGGCAAAACAAGCTCGTCAAGCCTTCTTCTACTAGTGAATAGGATCAGCTCGGTCTTTCCAACATTGACAGAAAGGTCGACTTCCCTACTCCACGATTCCACATAGAAAAGAGCGCCATGCATAATTTCAAAAACAACCCCTAACTACATGCTTAAATCATCAGCATAGGCTTACAGGTAGACACTCGCACTGCTGAGCCTAACGAGGAGTTTGTTCACCACGAGGCACCAGAGTAGGGGTGACAGAACTCCACCCTGGGGGGCAGCCTCTAGCTACGCTGACGCTATCTAGAGGTACCAATAAGGGGATATAGACACCATACTTGAAATCGGTTTTATTAAAATAACTTTTCAATAGCGTTGTATAATTGAAATAATTTTGTATGCTTATTATCAGGTACCGAAACGAAAGAGGGTAGCAAAATACCGACTTATTGACTCTTTAAAGGCGTGCCACGTTAGCAGTACTATGTGTTATGCTATTCTCTTCCGTTTTGGTACCAGAGTACAGGGGGTTCAACCAAAAATATACAGCGTACGCAAACGTTAAACTCATTTGACATTAAACCTCAAATATTTGTGGTAAATGTCATGTTTATGTATGCGGTATTTGTGATTGCCAAAGCTCCATTAACACGATATTTAAAAAGCTCACTCAAACGCCTCAATATACATAAGCTTAATACAGTCCTGGCTAATGAAGCTTTTATTGATCACATTACGCATGTCGGCTAATTGATTCTTCGACGTTGCCAGATCGAAGAGAAAAGTACTGCAGTTGGAGATTACTAACCCTACAAACTCAGTGTTTATTTTATGGGGTCTAAAAATATGAAGCTAACATTCTGCAAAATGTTCCAAGGACATTACATGAGACCTCTTGATTGACACTTCTAGTCTAATACACGTTTTACATCGGCAATATATCGAGGGGTCTCTTCATGAATTGTGTTCATTGCAAAAGTATAAATCAGACATTTGATGTCAAATAAATCTATGAATTTCTTCTCGCAATTAGAAGTTGTTTTAATTTTTGCTAAGTAGGATGCCAAATTCCAGGGTGCAAACCTTTTGTTTTCCTTTCCATTATATTGAACAACTTTTCAATTCAAGTTTAGAACTTCGATAGAATTATAGTATCTAACAAAATGGTTTCTGTACTAAACCCGCTTCAAACTTAAACTCACAATATGTATAATAGCTTAATAGCTCACAATGTTTCTCCAAGAATTTGTTGTGGGGCTGGCAGCACTATGTACTGTTTATAATCCATGAACTTGAGTATTGATGTAGACATAAACCCTATTTCGCGAGTATCCATCACGTTTTGACGCCTCTCTAAATAGCTGATCAGCTAGTAACATAATATTTGTATTAGTCTGTGACGTTGGCTTGGCAGTCATGAATTGTAGTGTTATTTTTTATATGCAAATTGATTTAAACAAAACAGTTGTGAGCAAGTATGAAATGAATCTGTAGCTTACAAAAAACAAAACCCGGCTATGCATAACTGGCGCTGACGGACCCGTTTGCTCATATGGGGAATTTTGAAATATTACTAGATAATCAGCTGTTATTCCACCGTACCACCGTAATGGATACTCGTAAAAAACAATATGGACTTTGCTAAGGGATAACAGCTTCAAAATCCACGTTTGGTTTTGTACTTATAGTTCACGCTAACAGATGGCGCTACTTTTTAAAGGCTGCGATTTTTTGGTCAGTTTGTTAAGTGAGTTCTGGCAACATTGCTCGATACACCAGTTAGAAATGTCAATGTGGTGGTGTTTTCTCCCAAAAAAATTGTGAGTTTTGTAATTCAAAAAGGAGTAGGGTGAGTTGCAAGCTTTTTAATTCATATTTGCATGCAAACTTTACCTATTTATTGTATTGCTTAAATCAGACATCTTCGAATTTGTTGTATAATCGTGTTAAATTGAGGTGAATAACACAGGAACAGGTGTATTGATTTTAATTTAAGAATTGTTTATGAAAACAATGATCCAGGATCGTATGTTTGAATTTTTGCGGCATGCTTAATCCTAAAATATGCAGTTTAATGGGTACCACGCAAAATTAGGCAAAAACTAAGTCGTATGGAGCCGCTATGATAGGTCACGATCATTGATTTTGCATCCCCCACAAAAAGAGGCACAGAGTTGGATTGAGGTCGTGTCGTCATAGGGGATGACTCATACCGTAATGGGATATTTGGTGAGTTGATTGCGAGCCAAATTCGGTTTAATAAACTTTAACCCTCGATGTATCTGTTGTGGGACACAAAAATAAGAATATCGCTTTTGTGTTATCTAACCTAGAAACTATTGAACAGCAGTAGCTTATGGTGTGTATCTATGAACCAAAAGTAGGAAGTTGTAAAGGCTATGTCATTTGACAATTTTTATCTTGCACCTAGACATATGTGTTCTGGTAACAGGGACCAAATTGTCTGGTCTCACGCTTCTCTGCAGGATCTAGTAGGAACTAATATTTAATAATAGTAATAATAATAATAAATGTCTTTATTAGCAACACAACAATAGGGCGAAGATTAGCCAGTTGGCTACTCTTACACCCAACCTTATTGTGTGACTAAATATGTATATACAATTCAAAGTTACATACATGCAATCTAAAAATGAATACATCAATCTGGCTTTCATCTAAGTGAGCTAATAATACAGGGAAAAACTACAGTCAATTGATAAATCCGCGCTATATTGGTTTACCAAAAAGGAACCAGTCAAGAACCAGTACTGAACAGATGACAACACACAAAAAAAAACAAAGATAATAACAACTAATTATGATACATCTAACAGCTGATTTTTAACCAGCTTGCTGACCGTTACTACACTTTTGCTTCTCCAGGCAGGGTCGGCTGAGTTGTATAATCTCAAAGCATTGAAAGTGAAACATGTTTGAAACAATGCGGTGTAGTGCAAAGGCATTGTCAGATTATTATTATTATGCCTCAGATCACTAAGATTAATGATTCCTCTAGTTACCAATTTACTATGGAGATAGATGGGCTTTTTAGTACACAATATCTTATGCACAAATACCTTCAGACTATATTCAAATTGTTGATCCATTTTCAGCCATTTCAACTCCTTGATCTTAGAGGAGACATGACTATATTTTCGAAGACCATACACAAACCTACAGCAGTTGTTTTGCATTCTTTGGATCCTACGCTGATTCATCGAGTCAAGACAAGGATAGTATAAGGTTAAAGCGTAGTTGAGGCTGGACATTATCAAACTTTCAACTAGCTTCTTACGCGTTTTATCAAAAATGAATCTATTAGCATATAGCAGTCTTAATTTGATGTAGGTGGACTTCGATAGATGAGACACATGTTTGTCAAATCTTAAACTATAGTTGAAGATGACGCCAAGATTTTTTGCTTGTTCCACAATAGGAATGAGCTCGTTGTTGATGCTGAATGCAATTCTGTCCCTTAGTTTATTATGCAAATGTTTAGGTTAAAAAAGTATGCAAGTACTCTTATCCGGATTAATCTTCAACATGTGTCTTTTACAAAAATCAGTAATGTTGGCAAGATCACAATTTATCTTATATGACAATTCATCCAGATGAAACAAGTCAAAATG